CGGCGTTGTGCAGTCTGCAACAAATGAAGCTTTAGATCTGCATTTACGTTATATGCCGCGTTTTAAAATCAGAAGCTCCAATCGCAGGCCACCCTTCTGCGCTGCCCGGCTGCTGCCGCTGGCGCCGTTCGCTCAGCTCCGTCCCGCTCTTGGCGTGTACGGTAGGTGGTTGAGTTTAATTAGTTCGGAGGCTGTAGTCTAAGCCCCCCGCCCTAAGGCCCAACCCGTTGCCGAATGGTATGTCAGGAGCCGTTTCAGGGTGGACCTCGACTGCGTAAGATTCCCTTGCCGAAGCATTATGGGGCCCTGTCAGAAAGCCTTGATTTAATGTTTCAGTTTCTTCACTTCAGGAGGCCGAACTCACATTCGGAGGGTATCATTTCGACCCTGGGGATGCTTCAGTTTTCGCCTTCCGGCTCCTGAAATAGAATCCCCGGTGTAGGACTCCACCGTGCCTCCTCCGAACTAATTAAATGGCTAAGGCATTGGGTGAATTGGGTGTAGTGTAGGGGGTGTTGTTTTAAGAAACCTTTAAAATAGGGGTGGTCCCTTTGGCGGAGGAAGGTTTCTTAGGCGGGCCTTTCTTCTCTAGACATACTAGGGTTGTCCGCCCAGGGGAACACCGTAGTTAGCCCCACTCCGAAAGCACTGGAGGGTACAATGCCAATTCCATCGTGGAGAACGGTTTTGACCACCGGACCTGGTGCAACCGCATGGTCGGGAAGTTTGACTTCCGCTACCAGAAGACGCCCAGGCAAAAAGGCTTTCTCCTCACATTGGACCTGGTTCGCGTCTCGCTGGAGGATGCCCTTGGCAGAAGGCCTCCATGGATCCGTTCGTGGATCCTTGTAATCTGCTGGCTGCCGGGCTGCGAGACTTCGTCTACTTAGCAGCTGCCGACACCAATTCCGAGTGTTCGGCTGGGACTGGCGGACTCCACATCGACATCGACCCGGCGGAGATCTCTCTCTCTCTCTCTCTCTCTCTCTCTCTCTCTCACTCTCACTCTCACTCTCACTCTCTCTCTCTCTCTCTCTCTCTCTCTCTCTCTTATCCTACACCCCTGAACCCTAAACCCTATTAATATTAGCATAAGTAAGAAGCAAGAGCGCAAACATCATTAATACAATGCACTTACAATAGTTCGTTCAGGGGCTGGGCTTCTTTCCCGGGCTTTCAAGTTTGGTTTCGGGGTCTTTGGGACTGATCTTGAAGCTCTGTTTCAGTAATTTAATAATAATTCCGGTTTAGGGTTTAGGGTTTAGGGTATGGGCACTCCCCCCTAAGTCGCCCACTCGCAAGACCCATAAGATCCGCAAGATGCATCCAAGCAATAATTGCAGGCATAATGTAATAAATGTAATTTACTCGAAAGTTGCAACCGAAACAAGGCCAGTAAGACTCAGTTAAGATTCTCCTTCTTTGCTCAAATCTGCAAATCTGAGTCTTTGGAAGTAAAGGAGTGGCACCCTCGTAGCCAGACCTTCCGTAAGTTCCTCTGCCCAGATTCAGCACAAAAGCAAACCCTAAACTAGCTAGTAAACGACGATTATTATTACTACTAGTACTTAATAACTAGTGCTACTACTACGACGACGACTACTACTCCTGACTGTCTTGAAGTAACGAATGAATGCATATTTCATAATAACAATTTTTAATACAGTAAGCTTCCGGGTCTTGCATATCACCACGCTTGCAGGCGGAGACTCCTGCGAGAGTTTCCTGCCCTGCTGATTACACTGGTCTGGCCAGAGTCCTCCTGCCGCGAACCCAGAGTGCGACCGGTCACAACCGCATGCACGCACAATTTATTAATAAACTATTAAGTTGTATAGTAGCGCCCACCCACATACGCAAACGTAAACATACATGCACGCTTGCGCCTGTACGCATCTGCGAGCATAGAGACGGTGTGCGGATGCTTATTCAAGTCAATAGTTGAAATGATTAACTCACCTGCGCTGGATCGATGCTCGCAGCTTTTGCGATTGTCCTTGGTTTCCACATTCTGATGTATAGTAAGCCAAACCAATCCAATCAGACACAGTCAGACACTAACAGGTGCCGGTTCCACCGGTCTATCCTGCAAGAGACCTACGTCGCTTGCAAGGTCTGCCCGCCTCCTGTTGGATTGTTTCGGCCAGATTCAGAAACGACACTGCAGGGAAGCCTGTTTGTTTGCGATGAGGTTGTGAGAGATGAGAAATTGCACCGGCCCAGCCGTCATCACTGCCGGTGACATGTCCGGCTCGATAGCAAGTAAGAGAAGCCTTGAAGCATCTCAGTCTTGGATAATTTTGTTTCCTGCTGGCCGAGCTTGCGCAGCCATGGCCCCGAAGAAGAGCTGCATCCAGTCAAAAACCAAGGCAGTGCAAGAGAAGGCGCTTTCGAAGGAGAAGAAGCTGAAAGTGTTTTGTCTGCAAGCAAGGCGTCTACACTTCAACCTTCCGACCCCCCTTAACTTTAAACATATGATCCCATCAATCAAGCTAATCACATGTCCGAATATTCGTGAACTGAGGACAAGGCGGAGGAAGCCTTGCGCAAAGAGCAGAAAGCGAATCTTGAAGCGCAAGAGAACAGACTGGTCACGATGAGGCAGGAGCTCGATGCGTGGTTTGCCCTACGGCCGAAAGCACTGGAACACATCCATCGGGGCTTCAGTCGCTGAGAATTTTAGTTCTTCGTTTTTTTGGGTATGTTTGGGAAAGAAAAATAGTACTGTGAAGCTTTAGCGAGCTAGGTTCTTTAAATTCAGTTGAACTTGAGTGAAATGACTGACTGTGATTCATTGTCTTTAGAGCGCACGTGGCATAAAGGTATGGGAAGCTTTGATTCGCTGGACTCCGGCAAGATCGTGGGCGACGACGACTCGTCGGAGCAGAAGCTGAAGCCCTACATGAACAAGTTCCGATTGCTTGGGCAAGAGCAAACGCGACCGCTGCTTTGCAAGATGATTCCCAAAGTGATGTCGTTCTTGGACAAACAGCAGAAGAACTTCAGATGCAAGATAGAGCGTGCTTTCCTGGCGACCCTGCTCGCGTAGCTTGGCTGTGAATCAGTAGTACATGTAAAACAATCTTTCATTCAAATCTTCTTTGCCTCTGCCGAAGCAAGAAAAGTGCAAAACACCTCACTCGCCGTAGGTTCATCACTCACTGCGACGTCAACAGCGCGTTGCCGAGCAAGAGCATGGTCGCGCTTGAGGACTTCATGATGAAGCGCTTCACAGACTACGGCAGCCGGCTAGAAACCTGGGAGCCACGGGGGCCAGAGACGACCTTCCAGGACCTACTCGTTTAACCCGCCTAAGTAAGGCATCCTGCTGCAACATCGTGATTTTCCGCCGCCTGTTCATTGCTCAGCCTCTTAGGCCCAACATGCGGCTGGGGTCGTGAGTCCAAGTCAGTGAAAATTCAAGTTGAATGAATTCGGTTTAACCGTTGCCTTGTTTGTCGGATCGGTTGGCCTTAAATTCACCCAAGCCCAAGAGTCCGCGTTCTCAAGGAGTTCTGTGACGATCCCTCCTGCAGCTACTGGAGGCTGGAGAAGCAGGACGACGGCAAGAGTCAGTTGCGGTACATGCAGACCGACTTGATGTTTAAGCTTCCGCCGGAGATGCAGAACATCGACAACATCAAGGTCATGTGCGCAAGAAACTTCAACACATCCTTGAGTTTCTCAGCTGCAATGTGCGAATCTTTCAGATCAAGTTATCTAAGCACGCGCTTCTCTAGTTCTCTCGTCTATTCAGAACATGTTGAAACCACTTCTTCCAACTCAATTGTTCGTTGCATAGCAATTCCGTCAGGTGCTGGGTTGGTGGACATCTCGGTGTGCAAGATCCTGAATTCCGACATCAACGAGGGCAAGACCTTGCCCGAGAGCCCGTTCTTTCTGAAGGAGTGCCCGACGGGTTCCTCCCCCGAAGCCGGTTCTGGTGATGGCAAGAAGACGAAATCGTGGCAGGCGAAATCGGAGACTGCGCTTCAACCGGCAGCTGGGAACGGCAAGAACACTCCCCCGCGGACGCCGAAGCGCAAGATCAATTCCAAGTCGTCGCCTAGCAAGAGTCCGAAGACCCTCGCCGGATCGCCCGTCAGCTCGATCAAGTCGCCAGCATCAGGAGGGCGAGGATCGCCAAAGTAAACTTGACTGAGATTGTTTCAGGGGCAAGAACACAGAAGAAGCATTATTATTTTTAACATAAAAAATGCATCGCTGAAAGTTGGTGTCACATGCTTTTGTGTTCTCGGGTTACCCCTGCTTCTGAGTCTTCCGAGACTGTAGGTCAGAGAGCAGGGAAGTATTTCAAGAGCGCCCCGGCCTGACTCTGCCGAATTCCGCTGCCGCTGTTTCTGAAGGCAAGAAATTTTAATCGAGTCCTCGGCCGCTGAACCTGGCAAGTTTTGGCGATCAACCGCCTTGCCGGGCCGTTTGCGATAAAACGCTGCCTTAGTCACTGGCCGCAGAAGTCGCAAGAGAGAAAACGGGTTGCCAGAGCAACAAGCCTTTTGACGCACCTCATTTGTGATTTTACACTCCCGCCCGCCAGGATTCTGCACTTCCTGGACCTGCACTGAACGACTGTCGGGCCCTGGCAAGAATTTTTGCTAATGAGCCAGAGTAACGCAAGAAACTCCGTATTTTTGGAAAGACATTCGCAGGAAATCCCTGCAAGATGCAGAGAAAAAGGCGTGGCAAATCATCATCATTTCATCTCGCTGACATATAAACTTCACAGACTATCCGGGGTGTAGTGTCGTAAATTCTTATTGAAGCTTTTAATATACTTGGGAATTTTAACAACATATCAGAACTTTATCTTGTAACCGAACAACCCACGAACCCCTCACGAACCCCCAAAACGTTCGCAGAAGTTCGCCGAAGGGTTTTTGAAAAAACGAACTTCGTCGAAGGGTCAACCTTTGCCTGACAGACCGTTGCCCCCTTCTGCGTTCCCCTCAGATTAAGGGCCCCTGCCTTCGCAGCCCAAGGTGGCGAGCTTTAAGAAAAGCCCTGCTCGGCCCATCACGGGCAGCTGGGAGACTCCGGACGAGGGCCCCATGAAGTACGCAACTGGGACTCTGGGTTGATCGGGCTCATAGAGCTTTGGGGGATTAGGGTTTGGGGTTTTGGGGGTTTAGGGTTTTCAGAGGTTTAGGGTTTTTAGGGATTTAGGGTTTTGGTTTTCGGGCTTCGGGAGTTCAGGGTTCAGGACTTTGTGATGGTTGCTACAAGGGCTATCAGAAGTGCGGAGTTTGGATTATGGATCACCGTTGGGGCCGCTAAGGGTGCAAGGAACCCCGCACTCAGATACTTGCGCTTTTCGGTAGGCATGCAGCTGGGACTCTGGGTTAAGGGTCCAGGGAGTTCCGGGTTTAGGACTACATAGGGTTCACGGAGGGATTAGAAGATTTTGAGGGGTTATAAGGCTGAGGGGGTTTAGAAGTCGGGAAGATTATACGGTAAAGCTTAGTTAGTTGAGGCTGTTGAGGGCTCTAAATCCTCCGCTTCCAGGGCTTGTAAGACAGACTGGGGGCTTGTGCTATGTACTTCGGCTCAACCTGTCGGGCGTCGTGGCATCCTTCTTCAGGAGGGTGTGCTGGGTTCTGGGTGCAGGACTCAGGGCGAGTTTCGCAACAGATTAGGCCCTGGTATCGGGCTCCGGGTTCATGATTTTGAGGGTTCAGGGTTTCGGGCCGGAGTTCGGAGGCATTGGGCTTGGAAGGTTGAGCCTTTGGTTTATCCACGACCCTCAATGGCCCCTTAATGAAGCCCTTATGGTCCGTAATGGTGGTTATTTAGGGTATGTTGGAAGGTAGTTGGGGGGTCTAGGACCCCAAAGGTCCAAGTACCTAATAATCATACACTCTCCAAAATCCTAACCTACATAACTACTATCCGAGTACTTAATTATTTGGTCCTTTGGACCCTTGGGTTTAGGTTTCTAAGCTTTCGTGGCTTGAGGTTTCGGGGCTTCTAGGTTGGTTGCTTGTCATTAATCCATATGGGGGGTTGTCAAAATTAGGGTCCCTTTCGGGTACCCTAAATATTTACCATAATGGTGACCCAAAAAGGAACCATAATCTTGACAACCACCCATATAAAGGTAGGCTTAGGGGTACTTAGACATAATTTTGTTTTTTGGTGATTAAAATCCCGAAGAAACAGCTAAAGTTATTTTTTGCTAGGGTTCTAAGTTCAGTATAGGAACCTGCAAAAATCCGAGGCAGATGATGAGCTGGTGATGGAGACTCTGCGCGACCTCGGGGAGATCCTCCGCGAGGCCGCACGTTTTTAGCATGGCCCCGCTCGCATCATGTCAATGGGCTTAGGGCGGTTTAGGGATCAGAGTTTAGGGGTTTAAAGGGAACTCCAGAAAGTTGGAATATGGTTTCATGGTAGGATCCCCTATAGTTTACCTTAAAGGCGTTAGGATAATCATATTCCAACTTTCTGGCTTCTACTTTTAGGGTTTACGGCTTAGTCTTCAGTTAAGGGTTTGGGTCTTTCGGGTTGGGGTTTAGAGGTTTCGGGCTTTAGAGGCAATAGAAATCCGTCCGTCACTTGTATATCGTGTTCATGACCTATACATCAATAGGTTAGGCCTTCTGGTTTAGGCGCTAAGGATGCAGGTTGTCGTTTACGCTCTTATGCTGTGCAACAACAAGAATACAGCAAAACCAGACAATATCAGACAATCCTCGAGTGACGGACGTCTGCTCCCGTCGAGGTGTAGAGGCATTCCTGAGTTTCGGGGTTGTCTTTGGGTTCAAGGTTTTAAGCTTTAGGTTTAGGGCTCTCCGGTTGAGCCTAAGGCCTTTAACGCCAGCTACATCCTAAGCTCCGCAAGACCTGACTCAGGACCTCTGAAGGGATCTACTGAATGGCATCCTGAAAGGTTTTCCAACGTAGGCATTCCTTGCGGCTCTGATATGGCACTATTATGTTAGGCTCCTCTTGCCTGTTGTACTTGTAATAATTAAGGCGCATTTATGCTATTCGACAGCAGTGCAGTACTGAATAAGCCCTCCAGGTAGCCAACCTGCGACATGTTGTGTTACACACATAACTGGTGTATATCAAGAATGTGAGAAGAACAAGAGCCACCCCCTCATTCAGCCTCAACCCCAAATGCTTAGCTCCTGGAGCTGGCTAGTAGGATTCGGAATCTTCAATGTCTTGCTTGTTGTTTAGATTCCGCGATCCTGATTCGCTTGCAGGCAAGTGTTTGTAATGTGTGTTTCTACCGAACCTTAAGCCCAGAGACTCCAATATCCCTTAATGAAGGAATATACCTCAAATTATAGTAGGATCCCTACTATGATGTAAAGGAATATTCCCCAATTAAGGGATATTGGAGTCTTTGGGATCCCCTAATTTGGGGCCCTATACTACTAAGCGTACTTTACAGGAACCCCCATTAAGGGATCCACTTTTTGGATCCTCCCGGCATTCTTTGGGAGATGCATAGGGAGCAGGCTCGCAAGCAAACGGGGCGGGGGACCTTCCGCTTAGGCTCAAGGACTGTACTACGGTAGCTTAAGGTTTAGTGTTAAGGGTTCCTGGACCCCGTACCTTTTTAGGGCTCCCTGATATGATTTCCTTGTAGAAGTCCTTAACAAGGTAGGTACTTGGGGTTATGGTTAGGTTTATTAGAGAGTATTGGGGTTTAGGGTGTTGCAGTCCTTTACCTGTTCAATGATAGTTGTACTCGCAAGTTAGGCCGCAGAAGCTATATGAGTTGCCCCGCAGCCCTACACTTTACGCCTTGCTCATTCAAAAATCTAACTGATCATGAGCCTACCGAACAGACAGATGAAGCCGTGCGGTTGGAGGGCCGGAAACCACCGCCGAAAGAGCTCGACCGTGAACTCCAAACCCGAGGTGGTTAGGGTTTCAGGGTGCCGGTGTAGGAGAAGTTCATATTCCACCTGTGGCCCTGCTTGCTGAATTCCCCGGTCCTGTAGACCCTATTACCTATGCCCAAAACCCTTACAGTCAAGCACTAAAAAGCCCGATTCCCAAAGCAGCCTACCTCTCAGTCAGGAGACACCTGCTGAGATCGCGGCGGGTGCCTGAGGAGCGCCATTGTTTGGTTTGTTGGTTTCTCCGTAGTCGCCGCTTACCCTTGATTTGCCGTCGCGTGTCCAAAGCTGCATAGTCTTACGTAACCTAGTCTTTGGGTTCGTGGTGTGGGGTGTGCCTTAAACTTATGCTCCTATTCTCCCGGACCGTTTGGGCTTGCGCTTCTGCAACCTCAAATCAAAGCCGGAAGCAACGCGCGGACATCCTCAGGCTGAAAGAACTGTGGGAAGAGCTGATTGAGCCGTGATCCTACTGTAACTCCTACCCTGAAGTTCCGAAAGTCCAATTCCCAATGACGGGATCGCGCATTCCCAGAGACTCCAACACCCCATGATTTATGGAATACTCCTTAAGTCTGATTAGGGATCCTTCTGCAATCCAAGGTATATTCCTTGATGTAAGGGAGGGATATTGGAGTCTATGAGCCCTAAACCCTAAACCCTAAACCCCTAAACCCCTAAACCTTACTATGGGTTCTTTGTAACTAACATGCGATCCGATGCCACGTGAGGAGCCTTCGGCTTCCCCGCCGGACGTCTGACGACGCCAAGATATGCCCAAAAAAGGGGTTTAGGATTTTCGGGGTTCAGGGGTCGAGGGGTCGAGGGGTTGAGGGGTTTGGGGTTTAGGGATTTAGGGGTTTTAGGGTTCAGGGGTTCAGGGTTTGCCTTTGCAGGGCCCGCTTCGGCCAAACCGACACGAAACCGCAGGAACCCCAAGCCAAGCTTAAATGAGGATTGGAATGAGTATTCCCCAACCCTTAGCCCTCAAGCACAAACCTTTCAGAACCCTCAACTTCAAGCTCACACAAGTACACTGCAGCAGAAATCCGAAGTCAAAGCTTGGCACATACCTCCGGCAAGCCCCTTAAACGGATCCCTGTCAAGCCCTAGTGGTCGCTTTAAGCGGACCCTTTACAACTCCTGCTGCAGATGCTGTCGACAAATTTCGTATCAGCTCATCCTCACCATGCAAACAGATGTCTTCATGCCTTTGCATGGCTCATCATGCACAGCCCTTCCGGCTATGAGCGCGCAACAGACCTTCGAGGGCGGCTTATGGCTTATATGGGTTCTGTGTCTAACACAGCTGGATTTGCTGCTTTTCTTGTGACTGCCATATAAATGTGTGTGAGTGTGTGTAGAAACAATATATATATATATATATATATATATACACATAGATACATATGTACATACATAAATAAATAAATAAATATATATATATATATATATATATACATAGATACACAGATGTACACGTATATTTGTTTTTGTCGAGTGACGACCAGATCTCCATTCTGTTCAGCTTGGGGGCCTTGAGCCTCCACACTCTCAAATTCAAAAACTCAAAGGGGAAAGGAGGGACCCTTACTGGGGACCCCTACCCTATAATGGGCTATAGAATGGGTTTATATTAACTATGTCAAGGGTATATACCTAGGGGTCCTTATTAAGGGTCCCTCCTTTGACCCTTGGAAAAACTAGCGAGAGCAGGCGCCCTCGCCGGCAGTGCGAAAGCCGCCGACGCCATGCGCCTTGGCCGGCTCTGCTAGTATTGCCGATGATGACTGTAATGTAGGGGCCTTAGAAATCAAATAGGATTTGGTGGGGTATATCATACTATAATTGCTTATAGTGAGGAACCCCCAAAACCCTATTCTAATTATAACGCCCCCTACATTAGACTTTACCCTGAACCCTAACCCCTGTACCGGCAAGAAAGATGTAGAATCGGAATTCGGATGTGACAAGAGCTTCAGGATTCGAGTTTCGATTTGCATACTGGCAGGTTTGGTATCTACGGCTTATGGTTCAGGATTCTTCGGGACTATCATGCAGTAGTCAGTTGCAAGCTTAGGGTTGAATTGTTGAGGCTGCAGAGTCAATGGCGCAGTTTCAACTACCCCATATTGATACTACTCCAGAAGTATGTAAGTGGAAGTCATATCCAAGTTATTTCGGCACACCAATTTCCATGCTGTTGCGAGGAGACATAGTTGCACCGGTTTCCATTCTTAAACAGGCAAGATGAGCAAAACGAGGAAGCAACCGGAGCAATTACAGCACAAGCGATGCGTCTGGTTGGAAAATCGAAAAACAATAGCGCTCTAGCTCCCAACGGAAGCATGTGCAAGAACACCAATACCGCTGCTCATCCTCTTGCAAAAACAGGTCATAAACCCGCCAAACCTTGTGAGACTGTGAAAAAATCGTTGCAAAACCCTATCAGACCCTTGCAAGCTTGCGAATATCGGGTGGAGGTGTCAGATGTTTCGTTGGCTTCCGGAATGCAAGGTTTCAGTTAGGACCAAGAGGGCTCCTGTGGTTGATAGGGCGTACGATGATTCTTAAGCCTCTGGACCTGTGAAAAGCTAGGACCCAGAATAGGCCCTTGTTCCGTTTTTTAGGGTTGAGGTTCCTTATAACCCCCTGTAAACCAAAAAGGGCACCCTTTTTGTTCCTAGGTTAATCTTAGGTCTGGAAAGAGAAGCGCTGGTCAAAAGACCCTTAGCTTTCCATTTTGCAGCGACGAGGCTTGGTTGGTATTCGCGAAGGCGTCGACCTTTAGGCGGGCCGTGATTGGCTACGTAGTGAGGGGTCTCATATCCTACGCCTTGCTTAGGGTAAAGACGGGATAGGCGATGACCGCCTACCGCAAGATTCACGCTGCAATCGGAGATCTATGACAGATTGTATCTTCAAACTCTGTTCGACATACTTAGGCTCTTGTGCTAAGCCGGTGCCTGTGAACCTTTCAACTACCAAACCATAGACTTCCTCGTACAGGGCCCGTAAGGATGCTGCAAGCCGGGCTCTGCAATACCTGGTGTTAAACCTTCGCTTTAATGGGATACCCAGAGACTCCAAAACCCCTTAATTAAGGAATCTACCTTAAAATATAGTAGGATCCCTAATATGATTTAAGGTATATGGATGTGCACGGATTTTGCCAAGTGGCCTCGTATTACAACTGGTGTCGCAAGAGGCCGACAGGGCAAGAACTCCTACTGCAACTGCACCGAAAGCCACAGCTCCCCCGACTCTCCGCCCCTCCACTAAGCCAGAATCATCACCAAAACTCGAAGCCCTAAACCCCGGACCCTGTGCCCTAACCCTAGTCCAACCCCCTACACCCTGTACCCTGAAGGTGCAACCCCTTAAACAGTAACCCTAAATCCTACAATCTGCATAAAAACCCAAGGCCTAAACTTCAGACCGTAATTCCTAAAATCTGCACACGACTAAACCCCCAAACCCGGGAAACGAATTCAAACCAGAGTCAACATGGTTGAGCCGACGACCCCAGCAGAAGAGCTTAAAACTCGACTTTCGCAGTTATAAAACCATAAAACACTTCAACAATAATATGATCAAGGCGCCCATCAAGCCCTTAAAGCAGGCCTAGAGAACCTGAAGAAAACCTTGTGCAGCCCCTTATAGTTAGAGCAGCTTTAGCAAAGCTTCTTATAGAGCCCGTCTGAATTCTAAACCCTGTATAGCAGGCTTAGAAAACCCGAAGAAAACTGGTAAAGCCTCTATAGAACCTTGAATCAAGCTTCTTAAAGAGCCCTTCTGAAGCCTGCGGAGTCACGGAGGCGGCCGGCCGATCCGACAACTCTTGCGAGTCGAAAAGATCGCTGAAGATTTTAAGGGTGGTTTAGGGTCCCCGTCGTAAGGATACTTTTTTAAAGGCGCGTTTCAAGGGTTCCCATAGTAGGATTTTGGTGTTTAAGTTGTTCAGGGCTTTCGGGATTAATCCTAAACCCAAGCCCTCAACCCTAAACCATAAAGGACCTGTCGGTTTGGGGTTCCACCTGACCTTCCCCTCTGCAGGCAGAAGAATCCGCCATGTTATCTATTTCCTCTGCTCGGGTTGGGCCTGGCAAAGCCATATACGCTTCTAAAAGCCCAAGGTCGAAAACCCGAAAGCTTCGCACCCTAAATCTGCAGACCACAATACAACTTAACGGAAGAATGCAGTTTAGTCAGCAATGGGCCTGGCGATTGGCTGTATGACCTATAGGCACGTTCCTGTCATTGTTCTTCATCATTATCGCTGCTAGTTGGGCTCTCTGGTAGCATCCCTACCCTAAACCCTACACCCTAAACCCTGGGCCGACTCCTCAGGAATGGCGACTATGATTTGCAGCAGCTGAAACCATGTCTGGAGGCTTGTGTTTAGGCTGTAGGTTTAGGGCTAGGGGCTTAGGGTTTAAGGTTTTAGGGCTAGGGTTCTTCCCTGTCCCCTGATTGCAGTTATTCGGCCTTGACCGTTCGGGGATGTTTGGGAGTGTTCTAGTCCCGGTAATGGAGAGGCTAGTTAGTCAAGGGTGATACAGTTGGGATTTGTGGTTTATGGCTTGTGTGGTTAGGGGTTTGAGTGGCTCGAGTTTCCTGTTTGAGGTCTATCTGGAGTTGTGGGTTCAGGGTTTGGGGTTGTGGGTTTCGGGGCTTAGCGTCTTTGAGTTTTATTCTTTGGGTGTAGCTTTAAGGTTGCGGCTTGCACCGAGTTTTTGGATGTTGAAGATTTGATCGGTGTGGGCCAAGAGTGTGATGGGTGGTGGTTGGGGTAAGGAGCGAACTCGAAGACCAGGGAGTTTGGGTTTGAGCGTCAGAGGTTATTGATGTGAGCCAAGTTGCTTAAGACTCCTGGGGTGTGTACAGTTTTTCTGGTAAGGTTTTGTAATTTATTTAGGAGCCCTAAACCCCAAACCTAAACCCTAAATCTAAATCCTTAGGCTTCAGTTGCTCAGGGACCAAACGACCTGTAAGTGACTGGTTTGGTTTGGTTGTTGCCATGGCAGCCCTACGGAAGACCTGCTGCGGGTCCGAAAGCCCAACATTTAAGATCTGGGGTCATATGGGTGGTTGTCAAAATTATGGCCTTTTTTGGGCACCCTAAATATTAGGGACCCAAAAAGGGACCATAATTCTGACAATCACCCATATGAGGATGTCTCTAAGCGTGCTGTAAGGGCTTCTATCACGTTC